TGCGTCTGAGTGTCCATCACTTAAGAGCAGCCTCTTTCTAAGCTCTGCTCACCGTCTTTGCAAAGCATCACATGAAGTGGGAATCAGTTCCCTGTGGGAGAAATAGGTGACACTCCCTCAGTGATAAAGCAGATCATTAGGGTTGGGCAATGTCTACCGAATTGCACATGAGGATGCCCATTACGAAACATTGCAATGGAGGTTGATATGGTTTTGTGTGTGTGTTTGTGTGTGTATTGAGGGGTGGGGTGGGGGGGGGCTCTAACGGGCTAAAGGTAATATAATTGTACATACTTTCTTTTATACTTTTTATAGTTTATATTTGCACCTCCATAACAACACGACTGAGTGGTAAATAGTGTGATTGAATAACCTGATTTTCCTTCAGTAAATCAGGTGCAAGGAACTTTTATAATAATTACAATAAACCCATTCTTCATTTTTTGCACTCTCTGAGTGACACTTCTTGTAATAAATATTCATCAGTTCTAAGGCGCTAAATGTTGGTACTTCAGTTCTCCACCTTCAGTTGCACCTTCAATTGCTGATAAATCTGAATTGTTACTTTTTAAGCAGGCAATGAATGCCATTAGCGCCATTGCAAACCCACCCGCTGTTGATGTGGATTTTTAAATCATGACGTCGGGCTCAGTGGTTGATGACTGTCAGTTATCGGCCCAACATTACAGGGCATTTACTGAAGTGATTGTCATGTGCCACTAAATTGTTAATAATGATACAAAAGTAATCATGAGATATTTAATGTCTTGGCTATTAATTTAACCAATACATTACATGAATTACATAATATTAAATTACAGGATTAAAGGGATAGTTTTGGGAAACAAAAATCAATGGGAGCTAAATGCTTGATTATTTCTTTTTGGTATGGTGACAGCAGGTCAACAAGACTCCAGATGGTCACTGCTTCTGATCATGAAATGGTCCAGAGCATAACCCTTACATAACCAGAACTTGCTGTTTTTACATTAGGTGGATTTTGTAATGTGTGGGCACTGCAAGGCCAACTGTTGTCAGTCCTTATACTGAGCTAACCAGCTGTTGGCTCTCACTTCATATCTCGTTGACACCTATGACACCTAGAGCGGTATTATTCTTCTCATCCAAATCTCTGCATGAAAGCAAAAAAGTGTATTTCCCAAAAAGTCTAACTGTTTAAGTTAAGCCTGGGGTAGGGTCAAAGAGTGTAGACATGTAGCAAATCTGCTTACACTTACATGACTGTCACAACATGCATAAGAGAACAACTAACATGAACATAAGGCTTTATAGAAAGTCAAATTCTGCTTTTTAAAAAGCTGTATAGCTCAACAGGTAGAGCATGGCATCATTGATGGTGGGTTTCCTTGTTATTCAGGGTGTTAAAAAATATGCACACTGTGATGCTTTGAACTAAAATATCCATCAAATACCTTGTGTCACACTTTGTGATCAAACCATGTCAGTGTCAGCATGTTTCCTTCTGCCATAAATATCTGAACAGTGTTTTTAAGGAAACTGGAAATTCAGGACGTTGCTCTGTTCCTTTTTCTGTCTGTAGCTGAATCAGATTAAATCATCCAAAGTAGTTAAAGTTGATGCTGTTCTGCTCCTAATGGCTGACAGGTGCTCCACCTGTGTGCAAGGAGACATGAGCCCCATCAGGTCAAGTCTTCTATAGTTTTTATTTATTGTTAAAAAGAAGAAGGAACGCTCCACATAGATAGACAGACTGCTCTCTGATGCTGCAGTTGAGCCAGCCTGAGTTGAGAGAGAGAGAGAGAGAGAGAGAGAGAGAGGGGTAGAAGAGATCGCACGTTGCTGTTTTTTCTGGGGTTTTGTACTATGAATGATGCAAACACAGTGAAAATCTCTAGTGTTCTTGTTTTCTCTCTGGCCTTCAGACAGTATACATTTTCTAATGAACATTTGGATTTTTATCAGAGAGGTCAGTCTGTCTTACTTTTATAATAGGCTCTTTATTAAACCGCACATGAATTGAGAGTCAATACTTTTGTCCCTAGTTACATGTTTAGCCATATGAAGGCCCTGACATATACCAGCTACACATGATCAGTAATAAGTTGATACTTGATACTTGACTGATTGATATTGCAACAGTATTATAGGGTTGACTATTGGTGCTTTCACAAAATATTTACACAGCAGTATTTTTAGTAAGTAATGTGGATATAATGACTAAGTGGGTAAAGGAAATTAATACAGCAGCTAGAACATTCAGGTACATGGCTCTGCAATAAGGGTTGCTCGACGCCTGGGGCAAGGAAAATGCCACATTGGGCTAGCAATTCTAGCGACTCAAGTAGCTAAGGAGAGAGCCATCTTGCTTCCTTCTCGTAAAGACAAAGTTTATGAGCTGAAGTGCAAGAGAGCATTTCTGTTATCCTGTAAACAGAAGCTTAGTTGATTGGCATCAGAGGATGTAGGTTAAACTCCAACTATGTGTTGCACAGTTTGCACCCCGAGAGCAAGGCGGATAAAAGAGGTTGTTTTTCCCTGACAACTTTAGTCTTTGTTGCCATTTGATAACCACTAATAAGTAAAACAGTTTGTATAGGGGGAGATAAAAATTGACTTTGGGCAGGTAGATTTCTGACCCAATTGCCCAAAAATACCATTAACATTTTACCTTAAGGTAAGTTTAGAAAATTACATCACCTTAGTGTAATGCAGCCTTTAAAACCAGGAACAGACGACACTTAGGATATAACGATATCTGAATTCTAAGATGATATACAGTACAGGCCAAAAGTTTGGACACACCTTCTCATTCAATGCGTTTTCTTTATTTTCATGACTATTTACATTGTAGATTCTCACTGAAGGCATCAAAACTATGAATGAACACATGTGGAGTTATGTACTTAACAAAAAAAGGTGAAATAACTGAAAACATGTTTTATATTCTAGTTTCTTCAAAATAGCCACCCTTTGCTCTGATTACTGCTTTGCACACTCTTGGCATTCTCTCCATGAGCTTCAAGAGGTAGTCACCTGAAATGGTTTCCACTTCACAGGTGTGCCTTATCAGGGTTAATTAGTGGAATTTCTTGCTTTATCAATGGGGTTGGGACCATCAGTTGTGTTGTGCAGAAGTCAGGTTAATACACAGCCGACAGCCCTATTGGACAACTGTTAAAATTCATATTATGACAAGAACCAATCAGCTAACTAAAGAAAAACGAGTGGCCATCAATTACTTTAAGAAATGAAGGTCAGTCAGTCCGGAAAATTGCAAAAACTTTAAATGTATCCCCAAGTGGAGTCGCAAAAACCATCAAGCGCTACAACGAAACTGGCACACATGAGGACAGACCCAGGAAAGGAAGACCAAGAGTCACCTCTGCTTCTGAGGATAAGTTCATCCGAGTCACCAGCCTCAGAAATCGCAAGTTAACAGCAGCTCAGATCAGAGACCAGATGAATGCCACACAGAGTTCTAGCAGCAGACCCATCTCTAGAACAACTGTTAAGAGGAGACTGCGCCAATCAGGCCTTCATGGTCAAATAGCTGCTAGGAAACCACTGCTAAGGAGAGGCAACAAGCAGAAGAGATTTGTTTGGGCCAAGAAACACAAGGAATGGACATTAGACCGGTGGAAATCTGTGCTTTGGTCTGATGAGTCCAAATTTGAGATCTTTGGTTCCAACCACCGTGTCTTTGTGAGACGCAGAAAAGGTGAACGGATGGATTCCACATGCCTGGTTCCCACTGTGAAGCATGGAGGAGGAGGTGTGATGGTGTGGGGGTGTTTTGCTGGTGACACTGTTGGGGATTTATTCAAAATTGAAGGCACACTGAACCAGCATGGCTACCACAGCATCCTGCAGCGACATGCCATCCCATCCGGTTTGCGTTTAGTTGGACGATCATTTATTTTTCAACAGGACAATGACCCCAAACACACCTCCAGGCTGTGTAAGGGCTATTTGACCAAGAAGGAGAGTGATGGAGTGCTGCGGCAGATGACCTGGCCTCCACAGTCACCGGACCTGAACCCAATCGAGATGGTTTGGGGTGAGCTGGACCGCAGAGTGAAGGCAAAGGGGCCAACAAGTGCTAAACACCTCTGGGAACTCCTTCAAGACTGTTGGAAAACCATTTCAGGTGACTACCTCTTGAAGCTCATGGAGAGAATGCCAAGAGTGTGCAAAGCAGTAATCAGAGCAAAGGGTGGCTATTTTGAAGAAACTAGAATATAAAACATGTTTTCAGTTATTTCACCTTTTTTTGTTAAGTACATAACTCCACATGTGTTCATTCATAGTTTTGATGCCTTCAGTGAGAATCTACAATGTAAATAGTCATGAAAATAAAGAAAACGCATTGAATGAGAAGGTGTGTCCAAACTTTTGGCCTGTACTATATATGATATATATCATATCACGATATTGATAAATTGCCCAGCCCTAGTTACAGTGCGTTCTCTCTGTCTTCTGTCTCCTTCCCATCTCTCTGCCCTTTCTCTCCCCACCATCTTGCCATGCTGAGATGACTCTGTTGTCTCTCCAAGCTTTCCCATGAGGCCTTGCCCTGTTCTCTGTTTGTTTGTGTGATCCCTTCCCTTAGGCCACTGTCCCACATCTGTGGAAGTATGTGTGTACGTGTATATTTGTGTGCGTCTGTGTGCGAGCATGAGTGTATTTGGAGCTTTGAACAGTGTACATGGATTGTGTTTGTATGTGTGTGTGTGTGTGTGTGTGTGTGTGTGTGTGTGTGTAGATGTGTGCATGTGAGTGTCTTCATGTGCATCTCTGTGTGTACGTGTGTGTGTATGTGTGTGTTGTAATCAGTGTGTAATCCCTTCCCTGCGGCCACTGTTCCACACAGCTGGACTCAGAGAGCCTCTGGAGGGTTTCTGTGCTATTCAAGCATCCTTTGCTCTTTCCACCTGACCGGGTGGTGTGTGTGTGTGCGTGCGTGCGTGTGTGTGTGCGCATGCATGCCTGTGTGTGTGTGTTTCTGTGTGTTTTAACAGGTGCAGTACCGAGAGCTGAAACTGGATCCCAATCCCAGTCCAAATAAAAGGAAGAAAAACAACCCCGGGTAGATGACTGTGTCCGCCCACCAACTCTTCTCTTCTCCATTTTTCTTCTCGTGCTCTATTACTGGACACTGAGGAGCAGAGGAAGACGGCTCTGGACCTGCTCGCCTCAGTTATCCTTCCTTTTTTTTTAATTTCCTTTTTTCTTCTCTTAAACCGTTTTTTCTGTCTTTAATTGCTCATGACGTACAGTACAGTTTCCTGAGGTGTAATTTTTGTATTAAAAAAAAGGACAAGTACAAGAAATATTCTTATTACCATTATGCTTTTGATTGATTTTAAATGCGAGTGGGAAGGATGGATGGAATAACCTTTTTCTGCCGTATGAGCCGCTCTCCTCCTTTTCTTCTCTCCATCACTCTGACAGCTCCGAGGACTCTGTCCATCTGCTTGCCACAAGTGTCACACAATGAGTAAAACGAGTTTCAGCATTTATACACACACCGTCCCATAAAGACATTTTCAGTGTGTCCGTATTTATGAGAATACAAGCCTTATACTATCATTCTGCATTATCACACTGCAATAGACTTTTAAGGTTATTGTTTTTTTTTAGCTCAAATTGTAGTTATTAAATGATTTTGGTAATATGTTCATATTTTCTAATTGTTTTTGTACTGAAGTATCTTTTGTTTTGTTCTTCTCTTGGATGTGGTAATGATGTTATGTTCCCTGGCAGTAATTTGGATTGTTTCCACTTAACTCAGCCAGCCAAGTTGATTAGCAATTATGGTAGTAGCCTCCAGATACTATGTCCTTCTACACAAACACAAACCTGGACCAACAGGCTGAGGGCTTGTGGTGCTATCTGTGCTTTAATACAATGGCCAAATTTGCTTTTTTTTAAAAAAAAAGATATTAATCCAGAACATAAAAAAACAATCAAACCACAGTGGGCAGTGGTATTAGTTTAAAGTACAGTGAGTCTGTTCCTCTTAAAATAGATTGCGATTACATAATCGTCATTAAAAAAAAATACCCAGAGGGAAAAAAAGAACAACACTAGAGTTGGCGGCAAACCTGCTCACTTCTAAATGTCCAGATAATTTAGCTGTAGCCTCGTTTAACCCCTTAAAAACATGTCAAAGTCCACTGTCAGTCAATCAGTGAGACTCCTTCTCCGTCTGTCAGGAGCAGCAGACTGGGCCTTCTGCCGTCTTGGTGTTAATATAGATGTCACCCAGTCTATGCAGAGTGTCGCCAGGCAGGCAGGCCTTTAGGCAGCCACAGCCCCTAATCTTGTTTGAAAGGCTGGTCTCCTTTCCTCTCATCTCCCCGTGCGTTTGCCTCGGCGGCCACACAAGACAGCATCCGCACACTCACACACACAAGCATGCATGCAGACACCAAAATAAAAAAATCAAAAAAGAAAGAAAGAAAACCGTCCTCTCACGTGAATACACTGCTTCTTTAAGAGATCTCGCGTACACATACTGTACCTACTTGCTCACAGATGAAAGCATAACATCCCATTTGAGCAGGCACATTCTACTCCCTCTCAGGCACACACACACACACTCACACAAACATGCTCTCTGTGATGCTGTGCCCCAGGCTGGCTGCCCTCTCCATCTGCCCCACCTCCTGTGCCCACAGCTCAACTTTGATCTGTCTTTTCAGAGACAGAGGCTTGTGTATGTGAACTGTGCATGTAAGAGTGTTTGCGTATACACGTTTATGCAATCAAAGACACGTTGCTTTTCTCAGCGTCGGTGTGTGTTACAATTGTATCTCCCCTCCAGCTGTAGACTGATGCGTTAGATTCAGTCGATGTGTGTGTCAGCATGCAAAAGTGTGCGTGTGTGTGTGTGGTGCAGCACAAGTGCCAGCTGTTATTTGGTGTGGAGTTTGCTGGTGTAGAGGGCCGTCAGCTAGATGAGCAGCAAGTCACTGTGTGACAAGGCAAGGCTCTGAGGGGACTTTGGCCTGAGATGTCAGGGATGGAGGGATGTGTGTATGTGTGTGTGTGTGTTTTATGCTATTTCAGATCCCTCTTCCCATCATGCTTCTCTGCGTTTGCTCTCTCTGCGGTTCCCTCATTCGTCAGTGAGCGGGGTTGCGACCCTGTCTGAAGGGACGGTCTCCTGGGCTTCTTGCTGAGCATCTGTTGAAAGATCACAGCTCAGGCTACATTTGAGGAGGTCTCCTCTCATCCTACTGATCCCTTCCTCCATCCTCTCCATTTTTTTGTTCCCTTTCCCCTCTTTGTCTGTGTGTCCGTCTCTCTGTCTGTCTTTATCATTCTACACCTCCTCCCCACCACAACTACAGCTCTCCTCTGCCATTTTGTCATCCTCTCTGCCCTGCCTGTCTGCTTGCCATCGTCTGTACCCCCCTCCGTCTTCACCCATCCATCTCCATGCTTAAATATCAACAGGCTTGGATCTGTCACTCCAGAGGGCCATTGATTTTGTTTTGTTGTTTTGAGGAATCCACTTGAAAGACAATAACAGACTGTCCCCTAAGAGCAGCGTCGCAGACTGATTATAGCCTCCTCAACAAACACACTCTGTGGCTCGTGAAGGATGGCTTTTTATAATGCCTGAAGGGACTGTTTGAATACCTGATATATATGTGTCTACTACTGTATGTAGTTATTTTACAGCAAATTGTGGTGACTATTGTGTGGTATTGCATCCAAATACCATTATTTTGTTATTTATTATTGGGTTTTGGCTCTGTTTGCAAGCAAACCAAAGTGTTTTTATTTTGTATGATGTAGAGAAAATAAATTATATAAAGGAATGTATCAGACAGACAGCTGTAAAGGGAAAAAAAGCACTTTTATTTGCACCAAGTTGCAATGAGACTATTTATTTTTTAAATAATACTGTACATAGCTAACTACTTAATTTATGTTTGTATTTTATACAGTATGCCTGTTGATGGTCTGGTGATGATGTTGTAAAGTAGGTGTATGCCTGCATCATTTTATAAGATCTGTCTTTTTTCCGCCTGCAACGTTGCCTGCCTGTGACATCATCTTCATGTGCCCAGTTCTGACCAATGACATTTTGGAAAAGGAATAGAGAGCTGAGACATGGGTTGGTCAGGAGGGGGTGAGAGAAAATATGATGTATATTTCCAGTTTGAGAACTGAAATGCATCTGATGTATGTTGCTTATTTTGAAAGAAAAGAAAAGAAAACAAACACAAGATTAAATATTTTTTATCATCTTCAAAGTGTCTGGATTATTGCGAAATTTGTTTTCCACTTCAGCACCAAGACTGGAAGCAGCAAAGGGAATAGACGGCTATTCATCTCAGTCTGAGATACCGAATACTTACACATTTCAGGTTCAGATCCCTCTCTCCTTACTTCTGTTGCTCTATCGTCGACTCGACCCACTCCAACAAGCAGGGCTGAGCACCTTCAGGAAGTGGTTCATTCATCACTGCTGTCTGTGTGGCTGAGACCCAAAGAGAACATCAGCACCCCAAGGATCTCAGACCAATTTGACTTTGGCCGGAACTAGTTCTATTCTTTCACTCTGGCCCCCACATGAAGCCACTTCATGTGTTAGAGAATGATTCATCCTTAAAAGGACAGTTCACCACAAAATTAAAAATACATATTTTTCCTCTTACCTGTAATACTTTTTATCAGTTTAGATTGTTTTGGTGAGAGTTGTTGAGTGTTGGCAATACATTACTGATAGACTTTTCATCAGGCTTAGTCATTGTGTTGGGTTTTTGGCAGCTTCTTCTTCAGCTTAAGCTTTAAATCAACTAAAGATACACATATTAAAGGGACAGTTCACCCCCAAATCAAAACTACATATTTTTCCTCTTACCTGTGGTGCTTTTTATCAGTTTCGGTTGTTCCGATGTGAGTCGCTGTGTGTTGGAGATACCGACTGTAGAGATGTCTGCCTCCTTTTTAATATAATGTAACTAGATGGCGCTCTGCTTGTGGTGCTCAAGGTGCCCAAAAAACTTGACAGCAATGTCTCTTTCCTCCTTCCATTTCTCAAAATAATCCACAGATCTTGTTGTGAGCAGTTTCATGTAGAAGTATTTTCTTTCTACTGAACTACACCTGCCAACTGTATCAATACGCAGCAGGAAGTGTGCATCTACTCATGGACAAGAGGCTCATGCTTGTAACAGTGCAAGATGGAAACACTAATGGCATCCTCCTCAGTTGAGTTATAGCTTGAGCTAGCAGTAGATGCACGCTTCCTTCTGTGCGGTAATACACTTGGTATTTGTGTACATATTTGAGTACTCTGCTGATTAAATGTTATCAAAATGTCTGAACACCACGGCATGACGTTATTTTCATTTATTTTGTTATAAATAACAGTTTATGTGAAACAAACTTTTATATTCAAACAAAGTGGCAGTAGAAAACTAGAACTTGAGGTAGACACAGTCTATACAGAAAAGTGTGTTGCCATAAAAACATGCAACTTCAAAATAAATACATATTTTTCAGGAAAATATTTACATTTGAGGAATATAAAACAAGTTGGTGAAATAAATCCAAACCATGTCATATTTATAATCAAAGTATAGAACTGTTTCTCTATAGAAATGAACATAAAACTTCAAAAACACAAGCTTACCCAATTTACCTGAATGGAAAGACGGGAGAAGGCTCATTATTTTGCAGGCGTACATACACAGAAGGCCAGAAGGTGTTTGCTGCCTGTGTAGACATTTTAAACTGTCATAAACTGCCAATAATAAACTATTGTATATAACTGAGTAAGATACCCTTTTGTGAGCATGTCAATCACAGGTTGCACATTCAAGTTTCAAGCTTTTCCGGTGTGTTGTCTATTGATCCCATGTCACAGGTCAGCCAGGAGCGCTTCCCCCCGACACTTAAGATCCTCCAGTATCTTTAGTAGGAACAGTGTATTCTCCCCTGTGCACAGTTTCACTGTCCGAGACACCTGCCCTAGGTAACTCCCTCGGCCGAGCTCCAGCAGTGTCTCTGTGTCCTCCACCAGCCTCACTGCCCGCTGGTCTGTCCAGCCCAAAATCACTTTTTGGTGGGAATGTGTCTCCAGGGCCCTGACCAGCGTGTGGCCCAGGCTGTGGGACTTGTCGCTGGGCTGCTTGTGGCTGGGCAGGCCCCTTTCTTGCTGGTAGGAGAAAATGAGGTGGGCCAGCAAAGTGGATCCGACCTCCAGGAGGGGCAGGTTCAAGACCTCAGTCGAGTCATTTCTCAGGGCTGAGTCTCCGACGTGCGCACTGTGGAGGAGCTCCTCCCTCTGACTTGTTGCAGAGACCAGATCTAGCGCAGTCTGCCCGTTTCCATTAGTCTGCTGCAGGAGAACTGAGCCTGGAGGGGGCAGAGGTATACAGGATCAGATCACACAACCTTTACTAACTCAGAACTTAAGGCCACTACATGCTACTTCCACAATGACGTGCAATGCTGCAGCAGGAGGAAACAACCTGCAACAAGCATGACTGCAACTATTTGCCTTTAAATAGTTTTGATACTTTTAACCAGGAAGTTTTTTTTTTTAACCATGCTACAAACCAAAACTAAAACTCAAGTTTGTTCTAATAGCACCAAACACTTTTTCAACATTGTACAATGACATGGGGCGTCGGTAGCGTAGTGGATAGTGCTGGCACCCCATGTACAGAGGCATCACCTCGCTGCAGCAGCCACGGGTTCGAATCCGGCTCGCGGCCCTTTGCTGTATGTCAGTCCCCACTCTCTCTCTGTCTCCCCATTTCACTCTGTCCTGTCAATAAAGGCAAAAAGCCCATAAAAATAATCTTTACAAAAAAAAAAAAATTGTACAATGACAGAAAGTGTTTTTAAGAGGATCTTGTCAATGCCCCGATTGAAGTAAGACAACTCTCCACATGAGAGCACAAGGACGAGAGCGCATCATGTATTCAGTTGTTGAGTGCTCGACACAAATACATGCATGCGACAGCCTTCACACACACACCATGACAAAACAGAAAATCTAAACGCAAACACTAGTTAAACATGAATACTCTTTGAACCCCCCCAAGTATTCTTCCTTCACTAAAGCTCACCTTTAAGAGGTCTCCCAGATAAAAAGCAATGAAGGATGTGCCGAATGGCATCACCTGAAAGTACTTCTTAGGGAAAAAAACTACAAATGAACTTTAAATGTGACTTAAAATTAGATTCTAGATGTAATTTTGGGAAGCTGCGATATGGTAGTGTTTGATTTTAAAGGTCCAGTGTGTAGGATTTAGGGGGGTACATTGACAGAGATGGAATAAAATATAATGTATGTTTTCTTTAGTGTATAATTGCCTGAAAATAAGAAATGTTTTGTTTAAATTACATTAGAAAGAGCCATTTATATCCACACAGGGAGCGAGTCCTTGTCTACAGAGATCACCTTGTTCACTGTCATGTTCTACAGTAGCCCAGTACCGACAAACCCAACAGTGGCTTTAGATAGAGCCATGTGTTTTCGTGTTGGCCACTGTACAGTAGTTAGCAGCCACTCTGCTGTAAGAAAACACTGATCTTGTACATGAAACAGCTTTATTCTGTGTTTTTACTGGTTTAATTTACCAGGTCCATTTGTTTTGGACAGAAAATGACCTCTGAGGATGATTCGGCTCCCAGTAAAAAAACCCTAAATGTCTGGATCTTAAGTTATCAGAGGAAAAAAGGTGAGAACACATTTACAGTAGCAGGTGCTAGGCTAATGGCCCATCTCTGACATGCCAGACAATGTCAGAGAACACTGATTTGAATCTGCTTTATTCATTGTTTCTACTGGTTTTAATAACACTGTCGGTTTGTTTCAGAGAGGAGGACACCTATATGGGTAATTTGGCTACTAGTAAAAAAAACTGGAATGCTGAAGGAACTCTAACTGGGAGAAGTTTCAGCTGGTTGCAATCTGCAATCCCCACAACTGGATGCCACTAAATCCCCCTAAATCTTACGCATCAGACCTGTAAATGTTTGATTTCAAAATGTCAGAGAGCAGGAGGTTAATATGTCAATGTAAACAGCTGGCTGAGGCGACAGCGATAACATCATGGCATACAGCTGAGCCACTGTAGGCTGCAGCATTATTATCAAATAAGGCGGAAGAGACATTGCATGGGTCAATGACAGGATGCAGCAACAGATATAAATAGTGCATACAAAATGCATGTGCTATACAGTGTGCACACACTAAAAACTCACACTCTCAGTGAAGTGAGGAGTT